CTCTGGTTAGCAGTCAAGTGCCTTAGGCACTACACTACCAGAGCTCCTTAGAGTGGCACTATGTAACCAAAACACAGGTTGTTAATAAGTCTTCCTCCAATCCTGACACCACACTGTTTTTCATATAGTCCAGTTTCTTGGATTATTTGCTCAGCATACAGATTGAGTAAGAAAGGATACAACCCTGACACATTCCTTCCTGATTTTAAACGATGCAGTATCCCCTTGTTCTGTTTGAATGACATCCTCCTGGTCTATGTACTGGTTCCTTATGAACACATTTAAGTGTTCTGGGATTCCCGATCTTCTCAATGCTATCCACAATTTGTTATGATCCACACAATTGAATGCTTTTGCGTAGTCAATAAAACACAAGTAAACATTTTTCTGATATTCTTTGCTTTCAACCAAGATCCATCTGACATCAGCAATGATATCTATCCTTCATTCCACATCCTCTTCTGAATCCAGCTTGCATTTCTGGAAATGCTCTGTCAATATACTGCTGCAACCATTTTTGAATTATCTTTAGCAAGATTTTACTTGCGTGTGGTATTAATGATATTGTTTGATAATTTCCACATTCTGTGGGATCACCTTTCTTTGAAATGGATACAAATATAGATCTCTTCTAGTCAGTTGGCCAGGCAGCTGTCTTCCAAATTTCTTGGTATAGATCATTGAGTTCCTCCAGCACGTCATCCATTTGTTGAAACATCTTAATGGGTATTCCATCCTGGAGACTTATTTTTCACCAGCTCCTTCATTGAAGCTTCAACTTCTTCCTTCAGTACCATTGGTTCTTGATCATATACCACCTCCTGAAATAGATGAACATCAACTAATTAATTCTTTTTGGTACCATGACTCTGTGCATTACTTCCATCTTCCTTTGATGTTTGCTGCATCATTCAATATTTTGCACATAGAATCTTTCAGTATTGTAACTTGAGGCTTGAATTTTTTTATCAGTTCTCTCAGCTTGAGAAATGCCAAGTGTGTTTTTCCCTTTTGGTTTTCTATTTCCAGATCTTTGCTCATTTCATTATAATAATTGACTTTGTCTTCTTGAGCTGCTCCTTGAAATCTTCTGTTCAGCTCTTTTACCTTGTTATTTCTTCCATTTGCTTTAGCTATTCTCCCTTCAAGAGCAAGTTTCAGGGTGCTCATAGATTCCATGGTGGTGAAGAGGGCGGGTTGGAGTTCAGGAAGCCAGTCTGGCATCCACGTTTTCCTGGGAAAGTGGTGGGTGGAATAACGCAGCCAATGGGACCCCGGGAGTTGCAGCTTCCTCGATGAGGTGTTGAGAAATCTCCTCTAAAGCTTTGGAAGGTTGAATGGAGTAAACATGAAGAGCATGAAAGGAAAGTTCAGGAAGAGTGATGGGACTTCCAATAAGATTGTGGAATAGGCAGACAAACCACCTCTTCAACAAAGAAAAGAGAACCAATTGACATACAGAAGATAATCCTGGAGCCCTGAGCTTTGAAAGGAAGTATACAGAAGTGAATTACACACCAACTAATGGAAAAACCTGAATGAAAACAGTGAGTATGGAGATGGATGGAGCTATGGACTGTCAGCTACTCTGATGGCACCAACAGCCTGAATATTTCCAAGTGGTTTTGGGACCTGTGGATTGACCTAAAGATCTGTGCTGGTTGCTAAGGGCTGCAGGGACAACTGCACTGGTGTCCTATGACTAGGAAGGGAAACGGCAAGGAGGGAGACATCCTGAGCTGTGGACTTTTGACTGTCCAGAGGGCACAGCCATTTTGATTGTTTACAAGCGGCAGGCACATTAAAGTGACTGAGGGCATAGCCATTTTGAATGTTTACAAACGGCTGCCATTTTGGATATTTAAAGTGACCGAGGGTGGAGCCATTTGGAATGATTACAAGTGGTGGCCATTTTTTTATATTTAAAGTGACAGCGTTCTCATTTGGATTGCAGGGACCTAAGAATAGGCTCCATTTGCCAAGTATGGCAGGGACTTATGGGAGGGTGACAACGAGAAAGGAGACAGGTGATTAGTGTATAAGTGCTGCCAACTAGTCAATAGAGGAACACAGTACCCTGCTTATGTAGGTAACATCCAAACAAGACAAAAAAAAATCGTGGGCAAGTCACTCCAACATACAATCACCAATTAAATATAACCAGAAAATGTCACAATGTCTTAGAGACAACAGAGCATCACAGTCCACACAAAGAAGCAAGAGAAACAAGGGATGAAAACACAGACCTGAGGAAGAAGCAACATTAGAACTTCCCCATAAGGAATTCAAAATAATTATATTTAGGTACTTTCAATGGATTGAGAGACAGATCAAGGAAAACACTGACAAATTTGAGGAAATCACAGAGAAAACCCTAGAACAATTTCAAAAGACAATGCAAGAACAAAATGACAAAATAAATGAAAAGTTAGAAATGATACAAAATCTACAGATAGAAATCCAGAAGATTAATACTAAATTTTCAGAAATAGATAACATACTGTATTGTCTTTTTACTTTCTTAATTTTTTTTCTATGAACACAAATTTGTAATTTTAATATAGTTCAGTTTATCCATTGTTTTCTTTGTAGTTGGTACTCTTTGTGTCTGTTTAAGAAATCTTTGCCTACTCCACAGTTAAAAGATATTCGCCTATGTTTTCTTCAAAAATTTTTTACCATTTTACTTTTCATATTTATATCCATAATCCATTTGGAATTGATTTTTTGTTTATAGTGTGAATCAAGTGTCAAAATTAGTATTTTTTACATAGAGATATACAACTGACCCATTACCATTTATTTAAAAAAAAAAAAGTTTCCTAATACACTTTACTATAACCTTTGTCATAAATCAAGTGACTTTATGTGTTTGGGTTTTTTCATGGACTTTCTATTTTGTTCCAATAATCTATTTATCATTGCAACATTACTATCTTAACTATAGCTTTCGTAGTCTCAATATTTGATAAAGTCCTCCAACTTGATTCTTCTTCAAGATTGTTTTCACCATTCTTGGCTCTTGTGTTTGCACATAGAATTTAATCAGTTTTTCAATTTCCATTAAAAAGAAAAAAAAAAAAAAAAAACGCTTGCAATGATTTTTATTGAGATTTCATTGGCTCAGTTTGGGAAAAACTATTATCTTTATAATATTGAGTCTCCCAATTTAAGAACATGTCCAGCCAAGCCAGCCACGTACCATTAAGTTGATTCTGACCCATAGTGATCTCCTTTGGAGGAGGAAGGTCTCCTCCTCTTATCTTGCCCTGTAGATATATTTGTTATTAAAGTGAACTATAATGTAGAAGGATTGTAAGGTAGAGGGTGGATGTACTGAAATAACAAAATATATCAAGGAGCATTTTAAAAATCATCCCAAAAGCAATTGAATAAATATTTATGAAGTAGCTGTATGTGCTAGATGCTGGAGATATGGTAGTGAGGAAAATAAGATGTGATTCCTGTCCTTAATGAGTTTATGATCTTGATTTTTAGAAAAGGGGATAGGGATGTATACATAAAAATGGTCATTGTAACATTATTTGTAGAATCTGCTTAAATATCTGTAAATAAGGAAATGATTAAACAAATTATGAAATAACTATACTATGGAATATTATGCAACAATTTAAAATAATTAGATAAATCTATACATACTCAAGGAGCTCTGGTAGTGTAATGCCTAAGGTACTTGGCTGCTAACCAGAGGCTGGTGGTTCAAGCCCACCAGCCACTCCTCGGAAGGAAGGTTGGGCAATCTACTTCCATAGTGATGTTGCCTCAGAAACCTAAGGAATGGTCGCTATGAGTCAGGTCCAACTCAATGGCACATAACAACAACAACATCAGCTTGATAGCCAATACCAGCATTTAGGGCAGTAATCGTATCTAGAAAAGGGTGGTAATTATGCTTTTATATATCTTGGTTTAATTTAGTTTCATCTTTGATACAAGCTTATTTTACTGCTTCATGAAAAGCTTTGATATAAAAATCTTTCCCTTCCACTTATAAGGAGGTGGTAAGCTCCAAGAGTTCCAAATGCTAGCTCTGAAAACTGACTCCTGCATAAAGAACATGAATTGTTCTCATTTGTCTATCTTGTTCTTCCTATTTTGCTCTTCTACAGCCAACCAGAAAAAAATAAATGTGTATGTGTGTGTGTTTATGCTTTTATGAAACTCAGTGAACAGTCCCTTCCACCTTGAGTATACAAAGTTGGTCTTCATCAGGCCCTGTTTTTGTTTTTGGAGCCCTGGGTGATGTAAACAGTTAATGCACTCAGTTGCTAACACACCTCGGAAGAAACGCCAAGTCATCTACTTCCACAAAATCAGCCATTTAAAACCCTATGGAGCACAGTTGTACTCTGACACATGGGGTCGTTAAGGTTTTGTGTTTACTTCTGGCAACTTCATTGCTGCTACAGTTGTTTGAAATAGTTTTGTGTGGACTAAGTAAATATCCTTCATTAGCCAGTGTAATAGCTGTAACCAATATTTAGAACTTTGCTTATTCATTCAACAGAAAAATTTTGAATGCTTGCTATATACCTCAGGTCATCCTCTGTTGTTTTGTTTCTTGAATATTTTAGCCCTATTAAACTGGACATCTTTCAAACATAGTGGTTTATTCAAAGTGAGTGAAATAACTCCCTTGCCCCAAAAGCTCAAGTTTCAAAAAGTAAAATAAACTGAGCTCTAAGTCATGAAAAAGAAAAGGAAAAACCTGACAGCTGTAAATAATGTATGCATCTCCAGCTGAGAAACATAAATTCACAACTTAGCTCTCTTTATCATATGGTAAGAACTAGTTGGTTAGGAAGTAGCTTTGTCATCTCATAGCTTCTCTTTTCTATCTTGTGTTTCTGTTAAAATGGAAATGGTTGTATTCCTTTAACTTACCTGATTTAAGTCAGTAATATTTAATCCATAATCATAGTAAGTTTAGAATGAAGAATTATAGATTACCTCTAAATATTTAACTTTTCCTTTTACAGATGCAAATACTGGCATTATGATGAAAACCTGCTGACTTCCAGTGTTGTCATTGTCTTCCATAATGAAGGATGGTCAACCCTCATGAGAACCGTCCACAGTGTAATCAAAAGGACACCAAGGAAATATTTAGCAGAAATTGTGTTAATTGATGATTTCAGTAATAAAGGTAATGACTATATAGAATTGCATTTTTGTCTGTAAAGAAAGTTAATTATTAGTAATTGCAAAAATGTGATTTCAAAATAATTGTTGTTGTGTGCCGTTGAGTCGGACCCGACTCATAGCAACCCCTCCTTGGGTTCCTGAGGCGGTATCTCTACAGAAGTAGATTGCCCAACCTTCATTCCAAGGAGTGGCTGGTGAGTTTGAACCACCAGCCTTCTGGTTAGCAGTCAAGTGCCTTAGGTACTACGCTACTAGAGCTCCTTTCTAAATAATTTGTCTTTAAATATTAATAACTTGCATTTATCGGTAGTTTGGAGTCCTTAGGCAGACAGATAATTTCCATGCTGAGCTGCTAACCAAGAGATTGGCGGTTCAGGCCTACCCTGAGATGCCTCAGAAAAAGGCCTGACCTAGTTTTGAGAAATTACAGCCATTGAAAATCCTATTGACGTACTCGGACACATATGGAGTCATCAGGAATCAGAATCAATTCAGTGGAAAATGATTTTTATTAATATTTTATTATTAATAAGTTGGTGCTGTGCCAGGTATCATATATGGATTATTTTGTTTGAGCCTGACAATAATCTTTTGCAATGATTTTTTTTTTTCAAATAATTTATTTTTATTATTGTTATTGAGAACATACACACAGAACATACACCAATTCAACAATTTCTATATATACGAAAAAAAAAAAAAAACCTCACTGTCGTCGAGTTGGATCTGACTCATAGCGACCCCCCACCTTGGGTTTCCAAGGCGATATCTCTATGGATGTAGATTGCCCAGTCTTCCTTCCAAGGACTGGCTGGTGGGTTTGACCCTCCACCTTCTAGTTGGCAGTCAAGTGCCTTAGGCACTGTGCTACCAGAGCTTGTAAATTTTATTTGTTGTTGTTGTTATGTGCCGTCGAGTCGGCCCGACTCATAGTGACCCCTCCTTGGGTTTCCGAGGCAGTATCACTACGGAAGTAGGATTGCCCAACCTTCCTTCCGAGGAGTGGCTGGTGAGTTTGAACCACCAGCCTTCTGGTTAGCAGTCAAGTGCCTTAGGCACTATGCTACCAGAGCTTGTAAATTTTATTTAGGATATTGAATTAAAAGGAAAATATCTTTTGCAATTATTATTACATTTTTTTAAGGAGACAATAACAGCATTTAAAGAGGCATTGGTTAGTCTTTATTCAACTTGGCAAGAGAGATTGAGCAGTGATTTTATAGGTAAATGTAAGGGTATTTTAGGTTAATTTTAAACTTTTCCTTTAAGTAGATACATTATTGTAAGCGGAATTTATCTCCTAAATGACACAAATATAAAAAGATAGATAATGCTGCAGCTCAGACCTCTAATCAGCATGCTAAATAAAAATATAATTATCCGCTGAGACTTAAATCTGGGTCTTCATTTATTCTTCTTTGCTTGTCACAGAAGTAAATTGAAACCTTTGAAAATTGACCAGAGAGCCCAGACTACTCTGTAACAACAGGATATTTGCTTTTTGGCAAGCAAGGTTTGCAGAGAATTTCTGTAAGTAGTGATAACATTGAATATGATGTCAGAAATAAAGACAGATCATGGGTAGCATAAAATACCATTTAAAATATTGTGGCTTTGTAAAAGCTTCCCCCCAAAACTTAATTTAGAACTCTTATAGTCTGAATAGCTAGTTAAACCTCTGCTGTTTTTGCAGGGATATGACTAGAATCTTAATCTTATACACATACATTAACATGGAGAAAAACAGAAATATGAACTGTTTTCCTTTTCCTTTCATCTTTGTGCAACTAATCACTTTTTTCAACCAAGCATTTTTAATTATACTAGAGAATGTATAGCTTTGTTTTTAGTCACATCAAGTGCATCTTACTCTTAGACATCTTATTTTGGTAACAATTTTCTATGACAGGAATGTTTCCATTAAGAATATGATTCCTGTCTCAAGAGAAATATTTGAAAATAAGTTTTAAAGCTGTATTCTTTTTTTTTTTTTTTTT